TGATGCTAATTGTCGTCTAAGAAGCGGAATATCTTTATAAGATAATGTCTCGATTTACAAAATTCAATGAACAACGAATGGAACACCTTAAGAAAAGAGTTTCCAAGTCAATTAAATCCATCAACGACAACGATGTTCTAAAATACATGATGCTAATTATCGTCTAAGAAGCGAAATATCTTTATAAGAGAACTGGAAAGGTGGTCGATCTCCACGTTGCAACAACGTCGCATACATCAACATGAACACCCCACAACTTGCTCCATCCACTTGTCTCAGAACTCCATCCACCACAACATTTCCCACTATCGACTTCCAACTCCTACCCGACCGCCTATGTGATGTTTGACGTTCCAAATACTGCACAATCAACCCGAAAACAGAAAGGTAAAAACTAGAATCAGATACAACGCGAGGAAAAGAATCAAAAATTTCGAAAACATCATCTCTCATGTTGACGGAAAGGAGGATCCAGTGATCATCATCTTTGTGGACAGGAACGAAGACAATATCGTAACGAAGCAAATCCACGTTTCTAGCCCACCTCGGCACCCCACCGTGTCCTTGAAGTTGCAGTTTACTGAAGAAGAACGAATTAAAGCTGAAGACTTGAAGGCCCGACGAGATGTCACGTGACCCACATGCGGTTGACCCCAACAACGCCATATAGAAATTGACCACCTCATCATTCACCCTGCCGTCGACATGCAGTAGGGTGAGGAGATCTTTTGCTGCAATCCGAAATTGACCATCGCCCAGTATAGAGAGAACAGTGTGAGACGGCACCGAGCCTCGTAAAATGTCGTAAAAAACCCGCAAGCTCAGAGGCTCAATCGCTGAAGCGAAACTTTTCCCGCGTGCTGCACTTGCGGCCCGCACTGCACAACATCGAGCAAAGGACACGTGGGATAGTGAGAAACGGAGTTCTAGGCATTGTCCCCCGGAGCATGACGCGTTGCTAAGTACTTCTCACACATGGCCTAACCCCTACTCACAGATCGTGGATATGTCCCTTTCTTCGGGGCAAGAAAGGAAAGACATTCCTCAATGGCAACGTTGTACCCCTTCTTCCCGATCTCAACATCAACCCCTGATGCCTTTAACATATCCTTGTGTTTTGTAGTCAACCCGGGGACTTTCTGCAATATGTGCTCAGGATATTTGGAGGACCTCCGTGTTCGAGACGACCCCACCCTTTTGCAACAGAAGAAAGACAGAATGGGAAATGAGAACCATACAATCACACAGACGCAACAGTCAAGCAGGACCTCTCCGACCATAGGACCCTGATTTCGCTTGGTCATATGCACCCAAGTGCGGTTGTGATACTGAAAAACAAAACGACTGCAACATTCTAGCTTAACACCCCCGCACTTCACAAAGAAAAACCACCACAACTCACAGAAGCCAAAGGCCAGCAATCCTCGAAGTTCGGACTGCAGCGGACTTTTCAATACACCAGCCCCACTGAGACTGACCACATCACGCATCGACAAAGGAAGTTCGGATCTCGGCGGACTAAAACCGACACTATTTCCGAGAAGGGAAAACCGTTAGTCCATCTACTTGGCCACTTTCTTAGCCCCTTGGCCACTTCCTCGGCCGGGGCAGATCCTTCCTTGGATGGAGTGTAAGTTTGTCGACGAACTTTTCGCCGCCCTCGACCAGCAACCTGGCCGAGTGACAGATAAGCCGACGAGATGTATTAGGAAGGGCTGGTGGCTGTAGTATGGCGCCATCCGGAACTTCCCGTATCGACAGACAGTGTGGACAACGCGGACTGTAATCCGACGACATCCGGACGCGCAGGCAGTGTGGCGTTCTTCACGGCTTACCAGTCTGTTTCTCTCTCCGCTCCTTCGATGGGGAATTTGGCGCGGGCAAAACGAGCACGTCGAGAGCTTGACCGCCGACCCTCAATTTTTTTGGGGACGTGACATGTTGTCGTCCCCCGACCTCGCCTTCCTCTCCGGCGGCAAGGGTGGCCGGCAGGACCAGGGACTTTGGCGGCGATGAAGCGAGGGCAGCTGCAACGGGAGACGTGACGTTGCCAGTGACGTCAGGCGTTGTGGACAGACGGACAGACACGTTGTGGTCGCCCAGGATACCGTCGATACCTTCGTCGATGCTTATACGCCGACTTGTTTTAGACGGGCTGATAGCGACGGAAGCCTCGTCAAAGCGGTGTTGCAAGTCGACAACAGACGTCAGTGGTCGGACCGCATAGTCTTCAGGTTGTGCGGAAAGGCTGCTAACGACCTTTGTCTCTATCTCTATTGCCGTGGCATCGTCGTCGACATCATCCTCGTGATGCTCTCCGTACAGTTGTTCGAACTCGTCAGACGACTCTCCAGATCCGGCATCGTCCTCACTGTGTTCCACCTCGTCGTCTCGAGATCCAGCACCCTCCCTTCCTTCAAGCAAATCAAGTAGCTCCGTTTCTCCCGCTTCCTCCCCTTCCTCCTCTTCTTCCTCTTCATCCTCCCCTTCTTCCTCCCCTTCTTGCGCTCCCCTCCGTTGCTCCATTTTCTCCCCTACTTCCCTTCCACGAAACTCATCTCCTTCCGCGGTACCCGTGTTGAATCCCGAGGACCGCCCTTCCATCTCCGTGCACGCTGCCCCTCTCAACGGCATGACAATCCCTGGCCGACACCCCCCGCCCGAAGAAGTTCGGATCTCGGCGGACTTCGTCGTCTCCGTGTCGCCGGACCCTGTACCTGCAGCCTCTCGCTGCAATCCTTGCGGTCGTCGCTCCTGCTCAGGCGACACCTTTCCCACGTTTCCGTCCCGCGCCGCAATGCTGCCAATTTCGGGATCCTTGCTTGGCTCCCCCGACCCCGAACGGGTTTGCATTCCGGACCTCTCTGGCGGCTCCTCAGCGGACGTAGTTCGGATCCCGGCAGACTTCAACTTTCCGCCGGAGCGACTGTCCAGAGCAAGCAAAGCTGCCAACGTGTCCCTCGCTGAGCCCACGAACGAAGTCGGGAGGTCGGTGGACTGTGTCGTATGCTCCGGCCAGGTGCCTGTCGATGGAGGCCAGTCGACGGCGAAACCCGCCACCCCGCCGCTGCCTCCCGGTATCGTGTTGTGGCCGTGAGACCCCCTCTCCCCACTAGGCGGGATTCCTTTGCCACCCCTCGCGCCACCATCCCCATCCCCTCCACTTCCAGGTGCCCCCCCCCCGGAACCACCGTCCGGGCAACTGGGAGGGGGCACTTTCCAGTCCACCATGCCCTTCGACGGACTCGTGTCGAGGTCGTAGTAGTCCTCCGTCAATTCCAACCAGCACTTGTCCTGAAGCTCGTCGAACAGTCGACCGACTGTGGAAATGAGGGACAGGTCGTCGGGTGCAAAGGTGGCATTCTCGACCGTCACTTTCTGGAGGACCGAAATCCTCGCGAGTTGCAGGAAGTTGGACTTCGACTCGCGTGGGAATGACGCTCATCTTGCGCCCGGGATTGCGACGGCCATGACCCACTCGCCCTTTCGTATCGCTGGCTGGATGACTCCTGGATGCCACACCATGTCATGGCCCCATTCCAGCTCAGGAGAATGATGTTGTGGCTCAAGCAGGAAGTGGATGTGGTCATCCTGCCAAGATGGATGATCGGGCGGGATGTCAGACCTGGGACGCAAAGCGGGCGGGGGGACGGCCAGAGCTGTGAGTCTCTCCAACAACTTCATCGGCGTGGTGCCCGGCGGTGGTTTGGCCGACGGTGACACGAGGGCTGCAGCGCTCGGTGACGGACCGGACGACGACGACCCTCTGCCGTGGTCCGCCGGAGGTGGGTCGTACTGCAGGTCAATGCTCTCTGTGTCGCTCTCCTCCTCCTTCGCGTTGGTGACAAACTCCACACGTGTGGCTTCCTCGTCATTAGTGGAGATCAGGGAAGCGTTACTGACTAACTTTAACTGCTCCTCGGACTCCACGAAGTACAACAACTACAGCCTATCGAGAAACGTCTTCGCGTTCATGCAGGAGGCGAAGTGGTAGTTGTCGAGCAGTGCGAACATGCGGTCCTTCCTGCGGACATACTCGGCGTCAGAGTCCTTTCTTGGCCACGTTTGAAGCAACAAGAAATCTTATATCTTGTTCCTCTTCCTCTCGCTCAACTTTAACCACATATCCGTCTTGCTGCTCCACACCTTATCCCGTGTTGGCTTCACGACCATGAACTCACAATTGTGCGCGCCCGAATTGACCTCGCTTTTCACCACCTGCATTGTGAATTGCAAGAGCTCGGCGTTCCCTTCCATCGCGACAACGTGTTGGCCGAACTTCAGAAGATCCCAGACGCTTCGCGCGTGCGGTTTCCCAAGGAACACGACACCCTCTCCCTTCTTGTCAAGGAAATCAAGAAGACCGATGAATTGTGTCGGATTGCATTCCATATCCCCGTAGACACTGCCCTGTCATTCCGGCATCACCAGCGACTAATCGCAAGGCACAAAAGGAATCTCGGACACATCCGTTTGGGTGACCCTCTGAGGCAATCGCACCGCAGCAGCGGCACCCCTGACAGGTTTCCCTCGTAGACCACGGACGTGTTGGCGCGCAGATCGTCACCCTTGAAGAGGATGTACATGCGGTTTTCCTCCGTGTACAAATTGTTCCCAACGGGGAAGCTTTTCTATTGCTGAACTCTCCTCACCCACTTCCCTTCCAACAGCTTGACGAAAGAAAGATGGTGCATGCTGGCGAGAAACGTCACGGTGAGGTTGTGCTGCTGCGACACGAAAACAACGAGAGTCCAATGCGACGGACACCACGTCTGAAGATAGGAATCCAAAGTCTCCCACGGTTGGGCCTTCCACAGTTTGAGGTCAATCGGCTCGCACAGATCGAGGACGAACGTGTGGCTCTTTGTGGCAGCCACTGCTTCCTTCAGCTCTGCGCCCCTTATGTCCACCTCCAAAAGGTCGTTAGCGAATGGCGCGATGGATGTCACGTCCCCCGTGTCTTTCCATTTAATGTGAACAATGCCTTCGGCAAGGGCGACCTCCCGGCTCTTCAGTCTGCTCCCATTCAACACGGAGAGAACCTTGTTTCTCCAGTCGACGGACAACTTCTTGTGTCCCGCCAACTTCTTCGTCACCACAATCGAGTTGTCCTGGTCGCAACCCATGTACGGCGGGCAGTCCTTGAACAACGCCGAGTCGGAAACGTGTTTTCTGCTGTTATCCCACAACTCGTCATCCAATCCCTGACTTTCAAACTTCTTGAACACTGCAGACCTCGATTTCAAGAAAGGGTACCTTTGGATCCAATCCGCGTCCGACCTCTTCTCGTGTTTGAATTGGTAGTAATTCCACAACCGGACCAGCACGCGGTCGCACTTCACCAGCTGCACCATGTCCTGCACGCTGAACTTCCCCAACTTCGCCAACGACGGGGAGCCGGCTTGGACCCAAATGACCTCGCAAGCAAGCACTTTCTTAAGAACGAGACACTTCTCATTGTCCGGGAGTGATTCCATTGCTTTCCAACAATGTGCGTCCGGGTCGGGCACTTCCACGAACCAATCGCCCTCCTCTTTCTCCTTTTTGCCTTTCTTATTCGGTGGGTCCACGAGGACGTTGTACACCACCTCAGTTCTGCCCAACTTGTCGTTGTGGATGTAGGCGACCCCAGGCTTGACATTTTTGACCTTCTTCTTTTTCACGATCCACCTCGCTCCGTCGTGGCTCAACAATCTACCCGTCTCCCATTTTTTGAAAAATTCCACGGCCAGTTTCCTGATATTTTCTCCGGCCATCGCAAGAGGGAAATAAGAACGCAGGGCAGCATTTTGCTTCTTAAGGGCCTCCTCTTCCTTTTGATCTGCGAGAATCCACAAGTTGTTGTGAGGCGCCTTATGGAGCGCCGTTGTACAAAACTTACGCCAAGCCCGGACCTGATTTTGTTTCCCGCTAGGGTTCCCCATCACAGCTCTCGGGCAGCCGTCATGCTTCCACTGCCACCGAATGTCTTTCATAGACAACTTCAACTGTCTGGGAGGCACCTTCAGGTCCTTCTTGTGGTCCTGTGAACTAACAAGAAAATACCCTTCGAAGTCGTCGTCCAAAAAGTAAAGCATTCGCGCCGGCCACCACTCGAAATTGTACTTCTTGGCCACCTCGCTCCCGAGCAGCGACCGGGCTGCAGCCGCGTTATGCTTCCCACACACCGCGTAGTAGTAGTATTATCCCGCCAGCTCGTCCTTCCACTCCTCCAGCTTTAGACGTTGAGCCTTGGTCCCGGGAGTTGGTTTTTGAAGCCCCAGTGGTGCGAGCTTGAAGATCGGCAAGTCGTGCGTCTGCTCTTTATTTTCGAATGCATACTGCATTGCTTCTTTTATCGTTCCCACGAGGACAGGATCCAGCGACCGCTGGTTGTAAAGATCCTCCCACTCCCCGAGGTCGACGATCTGAGCCGGGCTAATCTCAAACTCCCGCCTTGTCCTGACGCCGTCTTTGTACTCTAGGAAGTACCCGGCGTCCACGTCGATGGCAGGCCTTGTCGTGTAAGGTCCTGACGCAGGCTGTGTCTGTTTTGAAGTCGGACGTTTGCTACCCGGGTGGTCCTCTTCCACCCCCCTTCGCTTCCGTTTCTCTCCCGTTGTCTTCGGGGTCCTGGTCTTCTGTTTCTTCGAAGATCCTACCAAGTCCTCTTGACAATCTCCCCTCTTTTTTTGGGGAGTCCCCTGTGCTCCCTCACCGCCCACGGCCTTGTCGTCCGCGCCATGGCCCTCGCCGGGCTCAAAGTCGGACCCACACTGGACTGCCTCTTCTCCGGGATCCGCTGCGACCTCTTGTCGAACCGGGGTCTGTAGCCGGACCCCAGGTATGGACAACACGGACCGGTCTCTTTCCCTCGACGCCGAAAACGGTGGACGCGGTATCGCCTTATCTTCGATGTCGTCAAACTGACCTCTGGCATCCTCCCGCTGCACATGTGTAGCCTCGCGGGAACCCAGATCCCCCCCCTCCCCCGCTGCCTCGCTCGACTCACAACCTCCGCACAGCTGCAAAGGCATTGACAGTTCCAGATCGGGGCCGACTTCGCAAGGGACGTCGAGGGCGATGTCCTTGTCCTCCAACAGGTCGAAGAACTCTCGACCGAAAACAAACCCGCCCTGCCGCCGGAGGTCGTTGTAGAACGGGGTGTTCGCAGCACCTGCTTCGAACCCCTCGAACAGACACATGTCGAGAACTGCCCCCTTGGCACAGGCGACGACGTTCCCCTTCGAACTGTACACATTTTTCATGTAGAACCCATCGGCGCTTGTTGGCTTCGACGAAGATCACAGGACCACACGGCTGTTGAACTGGGTTCGAAGCATCACCACAGCACCAGTCGACGAACCATTTCGACCTTGCGTGGTCCGACCACGACCTCGAGGTCGTAGACGAACGTTTTGTGGAATTTTTCCCTGATCCCATCCCGGAGGTCGCTGCAGGCTCCCCCTCGCCCCTCGATGAAGACATCTTGTCTGCGGACGACAACGGAAAACAAATGAACCACCAGAGAGCGTCAAGTCGCAGACAAAATACAACGCAGGCAAAAAACACGGGCGACAAACATTGCGCCCAACCATTCCGGGACCTTGAAGTTTGGATCCCGACGAACTTTGGACGCGAAGACCTTTAATGGCCTCTTACCTGCAACGAGATCAATCTTTAAAAAGGGACACACGTCATGCGGTCGAGCAACAACCACATCGGTATTTTCGAAACACAGATGCCGACCACATGGGGAATGAACGGGAGGTCATGTTCGAAGCTCGCGTTGGACGGGGCGGTGTCCTCCGCTTAGCACTCGGAACCCGGACAGGCTAGCACGCGAAGTCCGCCAGGGTCCCGACTAAAAGACGGTGCGACAGAAAGAGAGCAACAACCAGCTCATGTAGTCGGCGTTCCAGAACCGGGCTCAAGCGAACATACTCCGCAACTGCATTTGATCAAAACCAGAAGTCGGAGACGGACTCTCCCCGTCGCCGGGCGGGTTGTGCGAACCACCGGACGGGCATGTCCGAAGACAAACCAACGCACCTCTCGAAAAGTGAAGTTCGCTGGGATCCGAACTTCAGGACGATGCGACAGGCAGAGACGGCGTCAGAGAAACACGGTCCGTGGACTCAACCGCGAGCTGGAAATGCCACATAGGAATGAGAGGCCGGTTGAGAAGGATAAGTTCGCCAAAATCCGAACTTCTTCTGATATGCAGCCGTGACAACATTGTATGGGTCCCTAGTGGGGCAGAACGATACGTGTGGAGCATGGCGGAGAGGAGCTGTTGTCGCAATCCACGGGGGATCCGGAAGACCAGTGTCTGTCCAATAGATAGGCGTCACAGGAAGTTCGCCAGGATCCGAACTTCAAGACGCCGCGAGAAAGATACACAGAGATAAACACTGGATCACGTATGAGGATGAACGGAAGTTGGGGTCCGAGCAAGGTTATGGTGGGAGAACCCTGGGTCTCACTGACCGCAGGTTTTGATGGCAGTAGTCATTGAGTCCGTCTATGCTCAAAACAGATCCAGATGCAACAAGAGGGCCCGTAAACCGGGATCTCTAACGGGTTTCAGTAAACGCGAAGCTCGCGCGACCTTGCGCTCATTCGAACCTGGGATCCCTAAGAGTGCTTTTGGCATTTCGCGACTGGGATCCTAAGAGTGCGTTTGGCATTTTACAACGACAATGATCGACTGTCTGGCACATGTCGATGGTGGTCGGGCGACAACCGAACACGGATAGTGTTGATGAAGTTCGGTTGGCGGCAGTCTAAGATCGCGAACGTCGGCGACCGTAATTGGTCGCTTAACCTTTTCGAAGGCCGCGGCCTCAAGCAAGACCGTGCTCGTGGTGCCCGACGGTTCTTGCGGTCCGCCCGACGCCAGCAGTACCAAAGACAAACCAACGCACAGCCCAAAACGTGAAGTTCGCCGGGATCCGCCGGGGCGCGACATGGAAGAAGACGACATCAGAGATAGACCTCCAACATGATTTTCGTCAGTTGTTGAACTTATTGACGATCAGGGATTTGCACGACAAGTGCGAGGTGTAGCGTCTACTAGCAACTGTTGCCTCTCACACCTCCCTCCACTACTACACATCTAATACTGTAGGCAGCAAAACAACATCTCATACCTCTCCCTTCTTTTCCATTAAACACCAGGTCTGACTACCAGTTTAGATGTGCCGACATTCGGGGTTCCCCTGGGACGACGTCGTGAACCGAAGCCATACAAACCATTCATTGATGATCCGTATACGTGGATCTGCGGTTCGTCTACCGATGCCCTCTCCGAAAAGACGGACATGTATTTCATCCTAACAAACACTCCCGGTCGTGCTAAGGAATTCCCTATACAGTCCCGTATATCGGACACTTTCTCCTCGACCTCACGATGCAACGAAAAGTTCTGGACCCGCCCTACTATCACCAAATCGCGCCACCCATCCACACGTTCATGCCCGCGCGTCCGCACGAATTTGGACCCCCCAATCACCACCTCGTTCCGTGACACAAGCACAACTGCATCGACAAGTTTTCGCTCTTGTTCGAAGCAGCGATACATAGAACTCTGGCGAAATCAGTCCCCGACACAGTCAATTGCACACAATAGTATGACACAACTTGTGGAGAATTCCCGGGGCACCGGAGCGGGTACTGCTCTAGGAACGAGCAGTGACGAGCGCAGTCCACCAACTCTTGTTTCCGCGAGCCTCCCCAAGTTCGTGGCGACGACCTGACGTAGTGGCACTCGAGGCGGCTGAAATGGCGGCTAATGCACCCAAGTGCTCTGCGCATATGGTTCAGGAACTTGTGTCCGAGGTCAGCGTCAGACACCGGGATGAGGTTCCTGAACTCCAACATGTTGGCGAACTTGTACTGGCTTGCCCATGGACAACGACTCTCCATCTTGGCCCAATTCCCATCGCACCAACCGTCAATATGCAGTCCCATGCACGGGACGACGGTCATCCAGGGGTCCTCGTCGAAGTCCTCCGCGGTCGCTCCGTGGATCGTTGTCACACCGTCAAAATACCACACGGATCTCGCGCAAGGACGAAACGGTTCTGCCAAGCGAATGTGTGTCTCGGGACTCATGGTTAGTGGTGTCGAGAACATCGACTCCATGATTCGTGGTGTCGAGAAGGTCGCCTCCATTACGCACCCTACACACCATGCACATATACCAAACGAGACACACGGGCACGGAGACACTCGTAAACACGTCGTGTTCTGCGATCTGCGACCTATGGCATTAGACGGAGCGCACGCTTGAAGATCTGAATTTGGGTGGTCGACTTCGTTGGTGTTCACTTCTGCCGGCGAGTAGGCCAGCCGCAAACATGTCCCATGAGAGGTGGGAACGTCATGTCCGCCGTGATCCAAACTAGGTGAGACTGCGCGGGAGAGACAAAGGTATCTCTCAAACTCGCCGTCCCGAACTTTCTTGAAGTTCGGATCTCGACGGACATCACACTTTTACAAATCCAAAGTTGTGGCAATCCACGGGGCGCTAGAAACTCCACAGTCAGAACCCACACCACCCGAGATTTGAAGTACGCCGGGGTCCGAACTTGATGGCCGCACGAGGAACCGTGCACGAGAAGTTCGGATCCCATCGCACTTCGCATTTTATCGAATCTGAAGTCCGCCCGGGTTCGAAATTGACGACTGTCCGAGGAACCGTGCACGGAAGGTTCGGATCCACGGCCCAGCAGGCGGGGCGGAAACATGAATTGCGAAAGGAGGAAATCTCAAGTTCGCCTGATCCCAGCGGACTTCAAGTGTTTAAGAATCCGTGGTTGTGGCAATCCCCCAGGCGCCAGCAAGTCCGCATTTTGAACCCAGACAATGCAAAAAGCGAAGTTCGCCGGGGTCCAAACTTGACGTCTGTGCGAGGAACGGTGCAGAAGAAGTCCGGATCCCAGCGGACTTCGCATTTTCACCAAACCGAAGTTCACCGACGTCCGGACTTGACGATTGTACCAGGAACCTTGCAAGCGAGGTTCGGATCCACAGCCCTGTAGGCGGGCTGCAAACATGTCTTTCGAAAGGCGGGAACATGAAGTTCGCCGGGATCCGACCTTGGCGAAATTGCATGGGAGAGACACACCTGTCTGCCAAACTCGCCGTCCAACAATTTTTTGAAGTTCGGATCCCGGCGGACTTCGAATTCTTGTACATCCTCGGCTGTGGTTGTGGGGCGGGGTTACGAAACGTGTTCGAACAGGTGCACAAGCTCGCCAGAATGCAGACTTCTTACGGTGTTTGATTGTGCTATCAGTTCAGTTTGATTGCGCGATCAGTTCGCCAAAGTTCGACGTCCAACGAGGTTCGACGCCCGCCGAGGTTTGATGTGAAGACAGGTTCCATGCCCAACATGGTTCGATGTTATACAAGGTTCGATGAGCAACAACATTGTGTGATCCGTTTGCGGGCACATGATCAATTGTCTTCTGCGATCCGTTCGCGGGCACATTATCAATTGCATTGTGGATTCTCTGCGAAGAACGGATTTGTCGCAGATCGGTCGCTCGATGTCGTTGCTTCCAACGTATGGAGATAAATGATCTGGTCAGCGAACAACCGGTCTGTCAAACTTGTTGGTAGTCTTCGACTGAACACTCGATTGGTCAGGAGATCTGCCAGGATCAACTATTTGATCGGGTGCTCGGTTGGCGGTTGGTGTGCTGGTTGATCAACCACTCGAGCAACCGCCAACAGAGCACCCGACCAATCGACTGTTCGCTTGCCGACGGGTTGATCGCGCACGCGCACGCGCACGCGCACACGCAGACGCACAGATGCACGCACACGCACATCGCCTGCAGGAACACATAATAGGTCACGGTGCTAAAACAGCACTCGCACGCACACGCACATCGCCTTGGTTTTGATGTTACCATTGAGACAAGCGAAACACACACGCGGTGACAACGTCGGGACAGCCCACACGATCAATCGACCGACCGCGAGTAATCTGTTAGCGTTTCGCGATTGGTCAGATGGATGCGTTTGCGATCCCGATGTTGTCTCCTCGTGCACTGATTAATCATCCGTTAGGCGGATCAGGGGCAATATTGTTGCGATGGCAAACAACATCAATCACCCGATCGCGAGTGGTCGGCTTATATTTCGTGATGGGTCGGTTCACTGAGTGTATGTTGTAGATATTGTCACAACGTGTTCGAGCGAAACTTTCTCTCTTGGTCGGTTGAATCGATCACGATTGACGTGATCGTGTTTTGCGATTGATCAACGGATGCGATCGCTGTATCGACATTGCCACCGCGTGTTTTGATCGATCATCCATTGGGCAGATCGGCGGATATGACATTGGCCACCACGAGTTCGATACGACCTTTCGTGATTCGCCAGTCGATCACCTCAGGATCACACCAGAATACAGTTCCGCGTTAAAACCTGCGCATTCGTTGGGTATTTTGCACCTCTCAACCCCGATTGCAGCAGGAGCAGAGTGGAAGTGCAAAACATGTCAATCGTCCTAGACCACACACCTTCGCGCACATGTCCGCGCGTTCAATGTACTCAATCACACACACACGTGCAAAAATATGCACAGACAGGCACACACACACACACACACATAGGCGCCCGCACACGCCGCCCACACACACACACGCCCCTCAGATCCTGACACGCGCATGATCCTTCCTCGCGCGTGTGGCATACACGTCATACAACCACACACACAATAAAACACGCACACAAAAAAACAAAAAAACAATCACACAAACACACACGCGCACGCACAAACACACACTAGCACACAAACACACACACACACACAACCACCCGCATCCCCGCGAACATAAACTCTTTCAATCTGCGCGAGCATAGCATCAGAAAACCCACCCGCACGCGCACACAAACACACACACGTCACGACTGCGGGCGCAGTCACCGTGTGATACTGTTGAGTGGAGATTCGCGCGATCCGTGCCGTCAAGCGAGACAGCACTCTGTCGACCTTTTGGCTTGTGTTTTTTGTTCGCGAGTATGTTGTGTGGAGTGCTTTGTGGTTGCGAGGGTAGTGCGTGGAGTGGTGGGCGCCGGAAGTGTCGACACGCGACATCGAATATGACGTGGACAGCGACTTCGAAGGTGGAGGGAGATGCGAGGGCATGCGGGGTGCGTCAGTGCTAGGAAACGAGCACGGTGAGGAATGGATGTCCCTACTCTTTGCCAGCTATGGCGCTCCAGCTGTGCGGGGTGGTGTTGTTGACGACAGTGGCGGTGCAAGGTTTCCGTCGGGCAGCATCTCCCCAGCAAAAACGCAGAACGCATCGTTAATGCCCAGGGCGCCGCTCGTACTTGTAGGCGCGCGGGACTCAAGGCCCCCTCGGGCCTTCCGTTTCGGAAAATCGCGCAGGGTCCGTACGCCACCGCATGACTGTTCGATCCTCGCATCGAACGGTGGCTGCGCGTCGAAATTTCCCCGATGGGGACCTGGTGAGCGCGACATGACAAAAAAGTCCCTGTGGGCTAGCCCTTCCAGGGCGTCATTAAAAAATATGCCCTTGTTCCTGGACACTCGCGTTCGTGTCGTCGGG